AGCAGTAATCAAAACACTCCCAACAAAAGCCCTGTACCAGACGGCTTCACAAGTGAATTTGACCAAGCATTCTGAAAAGAACCAATACCTTTCCTTCTCAAACTACTTCATAAAATTCGAGAGGAGGGAAGGATCTCAAACTCTTTTACGAGGCCAGTATTATCCTAATGCCAAAACTTGGTAGACACTAAAAAAAAAAGAAAATTATAAGCAACAGAAAAAACAAAACCCCTAAAATCCTCAACAAAATATTAGATTAGCAAACTGAATACAGCAATGCATCAAAAATATCATACCCCACAATCAAGTGGGATTTATTCTGGGAATGCAAGGTTGCTATAACACTCACAAATCAATAAATGCAACAGATGCAGAAAAACCATTTGATTAAAGCCAACACCCATTTAGGATAACACCTCTGAGCAAGGTGGAATTAGAGGGAACATACCTAAACATAATAAAGGCCATACATGACAAACCCACTGCCAACATCATACTCAATGGGCAAAAACTATAAGCAATCCCCTTACAATTGGAAACAAGACAGGGATGTCTGCTTTTACTTGTTTTATTCAACATAGTGCCAGAACTCCTAGCCATAGCAATCGGGAAAGAAGAAATAAAAGACATTTAAGTTAGAAAGAAAGAAGTAAAACTGTCATTATTTGCAGGTGACACGATACTGTACATAGAGAACCCAAAAGATTCCACAAAGAAACTACTAGAACTGATAAATGAATTCAGCAAAGTAGCAAGACACAAAATTAATGTCCAGAAATCATTTACATTTTTATATGCCACTAACAAACAAATAGAAAGGGAAATTAAGGAAAACAATCCTATTCACAATTGCTACAAAAAGAATAAAATACCTAGGAATAAACCTAACTAAGGATGTAAAAGACTTGTACTTGGGAAATTATAAGACACTGAAGAAAGAAATAAAAGATACAAGTAGTGGAAGCACATACCTTGTTCATGGATAAGAAGGATTAACATCATTAAAATGTCCATACTACCCAAAGCAATCTATAGATTCAACACAATTCCTATGAAGACACCAATGATGTATTTCATGGAACTAGAGTAAATATTTCAAAAATTTATATAGAACCACAAAAGGTCACGCACAGCAACAGCGATCCTGAGAAAGAACAAATTTTAAGGAATCAATCTACCTAATATCAAACAGTACTTCTATAAGGCCATAGCAATCAAAATAGCATGGTACTGGCATAAAAACAGACACACAGATCGATGGAAGAGAATAGAGAGCCTAGAAATAAACCCACACCTTTAGTCAATTAATATTTGACAGAGGAAGCAAGCACATACAATAGTCTACAAATAGTTTATTCAATAAATGATGTTGAAAACTGGACAGATAAGGACATATGAATGGCCAATAAAGAAGCTAAACACCACTAATCACAAGAGAAGTGAAAATTAAACCACAGTGAGTTATTACCGCATACCTGTCAGAAGGGATACCATCAATAAATCAACTAACAGGAGTTCCAACCAAGATGTAGGCAGAGTAGATGCAATTTGCTTCCTCAAACAACCAAAAGAAGGAAAACAACCAATTCAAAAACAAAGACCACCTGAAATGCCAGAAAAATCAAACTGTATGGAAGTCCAACAACCAAGGAGTTAAAGAAGAAACATTCATCCAGACTGGTAGGAGGGGCAGAGACAGGAAGCTGGGGTAGAGAGGGTATAGCTGGCTGATGGGGTAGATGAGGTGGCAGCTGGACATTTGCGTGTCGATTACTTGGGAGGAATAACTGGGGAGCAACACAAACCACTCCAACCCAGGGTTCCAGCTCAGGAAACTAAAGTCTCAAAACCTCTTGTGGTAAAAACCTGTGGGGGTTGCAGCAGCGGAAGAAATTCCCAGTTTCATAGGAGAGTTCATTGGAGATGCCCACGGGACCCTAGAGCATATACAAGTCCACCCACCTGGGATTCAGCACCTGAAAGGGCACAATACACTTGTGGGAAGTGAAGGAAAGGGGGGCAAGAGCTGAGCAAGTAAGCAAGAGGCATTGTCCCCTCACTGACCCTTTCCCCACAGACAGTGCCACAATGCAGCAAAATGGGTTGCCCCAACCTGGTGAATACCTGGCTCCGCCCCTTACAACATAACAGATACACTAAGACAAATTAAATTAAATTTAATTTAATTTAATTAAAGAAATTAAATATTGTCCAAATATTGTCCAAATATTGTCCAAATGACAGACCAGATCAAAACTCCAGAAAAAGAACTAAATGATGAGGAGACAGACAACCTATCAGATGCAAAGCTGAAAACACTAATCAGGATGCTCACAGAAATAACTGAGTTTGGTCACAAAATGAAGGAAGAAATGAAGGCTGTACAAAATGAAATAAAAGAAAATATACGGGGAACCAACAGTGAAGGAAAGGAAACCAAGACTTGAATTAACATTGGAACAAATCCAATCAAAACAGAATGAAGAAACAATGATTCAAAAAAATGAAGACAGGCTTAGGAACCCCTGGGAAAACTTTAAGTGCTCCAACATCCAAATCATAGGGGTGCCAGAAAGAAAAGAGGAAGAGCAAGAAATTGGAAACTTATTTGGACAAATGATAAAGGAATGGTCCCCAATCTGGAAAAGGAAATAGATTTCCAGGAAGTCCAGGAAGCTCAGAAAGTCCTAAAGAAGTTAGAACCATGGAAGCACATACCAAGACACATCATAATTACATTAACCAAGATGAAAGATAAGGAGAGAGTCTTAAAAACAGCAAGAGAAAAGGAGACAGTTACCTCCAAAGAAGTTCCCATAAGACTATCAGCTGATTTCTCAAAAGAAACCTTTCAAGCAAGAAGGGCTTGGAAAGAAGTATTCGAAGTCATGAAAGGCAAGAACCTATATCCAAGATGACTCTATCCAGCAAATCTGTCATTTAGAACGGAAGGGTAGATGAGGTCAAGTTAAAAAAGTTCATCATAAACAAGCCCTTATTATATCAAATATTAAAGGGACTTATCTAAGAAAAAGATCAAAAATATAAACAATAAAATGACAAACGCACAATTATCAACAACTGAACCTAAAAAACAAATAAATCAATATAACATACTTAAAAAATATAATAAAATAATAAAACATACCTAAAAAATAAATAAACAAGTGCTGGGGAGGACGTGGAGAAAAGAGGACTCTTTGCACTGATGGCAGGAATGCAGATTGAAGCAGCCACTGTGGAAAGCAGTATGGAGATATCTCAAAAAATTAAAAATGGATATGCTTTCCACTAGTGGAAACCTAGCTTTCTACTTGTAGAACCTAGCTATTCCATTTCTGGGAATATACCCCAAGAAACCCAAAATACAAATTCAAAAGAACATAGGCACCCCTATGTTCATTGCAGTGTTATTTATAATTGCCAAGATATGGAAACAGCCTGTGTGCATCCACCAGTAGGTAAGTGGATAAAACAACAATGGGATATTTATACAATAAAATACTACTTGGCCGTAAAAAAGAAAATTTTACCCTTGCAACTGCATGGATGGACCTGGAGAACATTATGCTAAACAAAATAAGCCAGTCAAAGAACGACAAATACTTTGTGATTTCACTCATATGTGGAATCTAATGAACAAACAACTAATAAGCAAAACAGAGACAGACTCATAGATAGAGAGCAGGAAGACAGCTGTAAGGAAGGGGAGGTTGGGGAGTGGAGAGACTGAACAAAAAGGAAAAAGGACTCTTGGACATGGACAACGGTGTGATGATTGCTATGGGGTGGGAGGGTATAAGGGGACTAAAAAAACAAAAAATCCAGAACGTGTGAACTCCCATCATTCAATTCACCAATGTTAAGGATATTTATGAAATTACAGCCCAGGCTGGTGTAGTTCAGTGGATTGAGCGCAGGCCTGCAAACCTAACAACCATGGTTCGATTCCCAGTCAGGGCACATGCCTGGGTTGCAGGCCAGTTCCCAGCAAGGGATGCACGAGAGGCAACCATACATTGATATTTCTCTCCCTCTCTCCTTCCTTTCCCCTCTAAAGATAAATAAAATCTTTTAAAAAAAAGAAAAAAAAAGAAAAAAAATTACAGTGCAACCTAGAAGATAACTAATTTCTATTCCTAGGTAAACGATATCTTGATATTCTTCTTTCTTGAACCCCCAGACATTTCTATAATTAATTATTTCCAAGATAGCCACTTTTCAGGGGTCATTTTTTATGCTACTTGTATGTAACATTTCCATTTTCTCCAGTGAATTTCAAATGGTCAGTTGTAAATTTCTTAGCTTCCAGCAATCATTTTAGAATCACTTATTTAAAAAGTGTGTGTGTGTGTGTGTATATATATATATATATATATATATATAAATATAAATTTGTATAGCAGAAATGAGAAAGCTATAAAATCAAAAATATTAAATAATGCTATTAAATATATACAAAACTGATAAACCAGCCACATCTGTTTTAGTAGGCCAAAGACTGAACCACTTCTAAGATAGGAGAGTAAAGAACACAATTATTATCTAGATATTTTTCAGTGTTTTGTGCAAGGTTCTACGGCTAATTTGGGTATAGATGGAATCCTAAAGATTAAAGTACTACATGTATACGTATTTTGAATGAGAATTTGAAAACACAGGGCAGAAAGGCAGTACAAGCATGTTTTTCTAGGAAGCAGGATAAAGTAATTAAAGTTCTTTCCAGTCTTCTGAATTCTTAATTTCCTGATAACCTGTAAAACTACTGAAAGACATGGATTGTCAATTTCTGAGAAGCTCTGGCCATAAAAGTGTGATATATTTTGTGACAACAGAGTGAGATTTTGGCTGTATTAAAAGACAAGAAGCAACTTTTACTGAACATCTGATGTAGAAAAAGTTAATAGTATATGTTTATACTAACTTACCTCATTTTGGAAAAAAGAAATATTTGCAAGGATATTTTAGTTTCATGTTTGTAGGGGAAGTTGGTAACTTACCTTCCAGATATAGGCAGCTTCATCACTTGAGCCACTGACCAAAAACTGGTCATCTGGGCTAAGACTGGATTTAATGTAAAAGGTCGAGTTCTGATGTCCATTGAAGATAGCCACTACCAGAGGGGGAGAAAAAAACAGTGTATTGACTATTGAAGCTGATGGTCAAGTTACATTCACCAAATATAAAGGAACTGGACATTGTCAAGAAATAAAGAAAATTCTAGAAAGAAGTTATATTATATTAGATCCAATCTCGTGATCTAAACCCAAATACTTGGTATGTGGCTGACTACAGAAAAGAAAATAGTAAGACATTCTGACTTTGAATAGAGTAGATCTTCAAATATGTGTTGCATGAACAGGTAAATATCAGTAACAAGAGTGAGATTTATGGATAGCTTGTCTGGGATGAGGGAATCTTTTAAACCCAGCACTTAAAATAGGGTGAACAGTAGAAGGAGGTAGTGGGGTAAACTATATGTTCATATATAAAATATTCCAAGTGGGATAGGTTTAGCCTTTAGGTTTAGATTTAGATTTCTCACTATACATGGTTAAAAGGGCAAGTTATCCAATCTAGCATAATGTGCTTGATAGGCTGTTCTATCTTAAGGAGACCAAAATTTGAAGACTCCAGCATCAGAATATTACTAGAAAGTAAAAGAAAAAAATGTTATTGGAGAACTTAAGTGGAGAACTTAAGAATACGTTTATAGGCAGGAAAAAAAAAATGTCACTCCAATCTTCTAACAGAGGGTAAAGAATTATTAAGGGTCTAAATAGCTGTCCATTAGTTGCTCACAGAAATCCCTTCCTTTTGCTAGAATAAAACTGGAAAAAACACTTTCTATTTATAGCTTTTCAAGAAAAATCCTACGTATCAAATACTCTCCACATTAAACACTTTCATTGTGAAGTTAAGCAGGATATGAATCAGTTCAGATACACGTAGTATAGACTCAACTACTATGTTTGGGTCTGTTAGGAAATGCTTTACTGAAAGAGTGTATTATAAACAAACATATTTCCAGAAATTATGGAATGTGTTCATAGTTTGCCAATCAAAAAAATACTGGTATAACTAACAGCCCACACTTGCTTACTTCTTAGTTTTCACTAGAAATTAAGGTTTCTAAATGTTAAAAAATAAAATTAATATATGCAGTTAAAACTACTAAAATAATAAGAGAAACATTCTAGTATGCAAGAAAAATTTGTGTTTTCAGTTGAAAAAAACCCCTAAGAAATGGACATGTATTTTGTTAAGGGAAAATAATTTTGTCCTAAAGAGCAGTTAAAAAAGAGAGAGAGAAAGAATAGGACAAAATCTGAATGTAAAAAAGGAAGTTATAAAAGATTTGTGAAAAAGGAACCTTAAGAAGAGTTTTATGCACGGTCATGCTGGCTAACACTGAGATGAATTTAATCAAGTAGATGAGTTTTAATATCAAAAGTAACCTGATACAAAATTAGGATTTGTTTTTCTCTCTGTTAAAAGAACAAAGTTCAGTTGCCTCTCGCATGCTCCCAGCTGGGACCTGGCCCCCAACCCAGGCATGTGCCCTGACTGGGAATCAAACTAGCAACCCTTCAGTTACCAGGCCAGTATTCAATCCACTGAGCCACAGCAGCCAGGGCAAAAGTTTTATTGCACCTTTGGTCTGATCTTGAAGAAGTGATTCTGAATAGTTTTTCTTTACCTTTGAGTAATCTACCTAAAAAGCAGGAATTTTATGTTTTATCTAAGTAAATGCTTAACATAGGCATTTTAACAGGTCTTTGATTATGAGGGCTAAGTTTTACTTACAAGTACCTAACTTTCTGAATTTGCCTGTAAAATCTTTAACTGTCATCATGCTTAAATGAATAACTAAGCATTATTTCACAGTGACCTATGATGCTATTTGACTATTTTAAAACATTTTGACAGCTCTGACAAACTTCCTATAATCAAATTCTAAATGTAGTCTTTTTGACCTCAACTAACTAATTTTTCAGAGGGTCCTTGAAACATTTAGAAGGATTTGTTCTTTTATAAAAAAGGAGCAATCAGACTAATTAGGCTTATTGTCATGTTACATTACATGGCAAACATTGTCAAATAAGTGACGATAAGCCTTCTTAGGTTATATTACATAGGTGAACGTCACTAACTTTCAGATTATACTATTGAACTGGGTGAGAATTTGTAGAACTCTAATGAAAAAAACTGATGGCTTCATAAAACTGCTACTAAAAAAATCAAGATCAACTGAGCCAGGTGGCTCAGTTGGTTGGAGCACTGTCCTGTACACCAAAAGGTTGTGGGTTTGATCCCTGGTCAGGGTGCATAGGGGTGGCAACAAATCGATGTTTCTCTCTCACAAGAGTACTTCTCTCTCAAATTTATGTCTATGGGTGAGGACTAAAAAAAATAATAGTTGCATAGGATTAAACAAACTAATGAAATGATTATAAATTTTATGACTTTCAGTTTGAAATATTATTGGTTCTTTAATCTTTGTTTTCCAGATATAAGGACATCTTTTCCCCTCCTGAGCTACCAATGACTCAAAGCAATTTGGTAAATTGTACCTTTCTAAGCAGAATTAAAACATTTATTTTTTTTCTTCTTACCTGATCCCTACAGAATTTGGAAACTCTTAGTATGTATTTTTTCCATGCAACACAATTATTTATATAAGTTCACTACGAATCTGTCCTCTCTGTAACAGGATACAGTTGGAAACATTGGTTATATTAGCAGGGATCGAATGGAATGTCATGTTTGACAGAAACATACATAGACTCAGATATGACGGGACAGCTTTAAGGAACTAAGATTGAGTCTATGGAAGCCAATAAAGCCCCCTTGGGGGAAAAAATCAGCCTGGTACCTTGATTACAGGGTTCAGAAGCCTTATCATGTTACTTCCTGGCAGGCACAGGAAACTCAGGATATTTTAGGGAGCTCAGTAAGAGAGGAATGAACCCAAATCTAAAGGTATTACAAGTGAAGTCCAAGAGCAAGCCTTTGGCTTGGCTTAGCTTTGAGAGGCTGTTTAAAGTTGAGTCTGGAGATTCCTTATGAAAAGTTACATAAAGCACATTTAAAAGAGGCTATATGATCGGTTGCTATTCTTGAAGCATTTATGTAACTACTCCGACCAAGTTTATTGAAACCAGACTTATTTTGCAAATAAATTAGTCAAATTTGGTTATCTTTGATTAAAATGAGAGTGATTTATTTCAGAGAAAAAACAATTTGTTTTAATAGAAACTATGAGGCACACACTTACAGATATAAGATTCTAGTTCTACTGTTTTTGAGATTTTGTTTTCCACCTGTAAACTGGACTGGATCCTGAATTCTTGTTTCCTTAAATATTTGGCTATCAACTCAACAAACTAACATTTCCAATTTTTCTCTCACTTTTGACTTGGAATCACTAAGAACTAGAGCTGCACTTTTCCCAAAGCCCCGCAAATTGAAGCTGAATTTGATAAACACATAAGAGAGGTCACCACAATAGTCCAATTTTAGACAACTTTTATGCCTGCTGTTGTGTAAGCCACTCAGAAAGTTTATCTGAACACCTGATGACATCATCAAAGACATCTAAAACTGCAAAAGATGTTTCAACCCTGACATCTAGCAATCTTCTTGACTGACTAGGCTCAGAAACTGGTGTACAATTTGCTCCAACCATTAACCTTTGTTTCTCTTTCGTTTCCAAAGAAATGTCTCTTTATATTAAATGCCTGACTTGCTTACACAATATAGACCTGCTTTGGGAGACCACATGCCTCTCTGCCTCCTGGAACAAATTTAACTGGACTGACCTATTACTGCCAGGACTAAGAGACTGAGTCAATGCAACAGAACATCTACCAACTCAGCTTCTAGACTGTGAACTTTTTAGAGAAGTTTCAAAGGCAGAATTGACTGTGGGGAAGCAAAATTTCCCACCCCAAATATATCTCTTTGGCATAAGTTGATTATTTTTAAGAAACACATGACTTGGGAAGTTTTTCTTGTTACCTCCCCCTTAACTGCCTAAAAGAATTTAGATAAAGGGCCTATTCCCATAACAGAGATATCACCACAGTTATCTATGAAGAATATGGACTAGGAGTGGTGGGGGAACATTAGAGATCAGAGCCTGCCAAATCCTACTTCCTCTCTAAGGCCTAGCAAACATATGTTTACCGAACATTTGCCTTTCTATCTCTAAGTGAATTAATTGCCCTCTGCCCCTCTGAAGTTCCTCCCAAACCACTACCCCCTTCTCCTTAGCTCAGGGTGGCATAAGCTCAACTGCCCAACTTGTCGTAAGTTGAATTTTCTCCTGTTTATCTGAGACATGTCAATTTAATTCTTAGACCAGCCAGAAGAACCTAGAAGGGTAGAGGGAATTTTCTTCCTCCCTGATAAGAAATATCCCCACAAAATAAACAGGTTCCTTTACTCTGAATACAATTCCAAAACTGTAACTGTTCATCTTTCTCAACTCTAAACTATGAATGGAAAACTACAGATCGTATTTCCCACTAAACCTAAAAGCATTTATTGCCCTCTGCTGGTACAAGAAAGACTAGCATAAAGTACACTACTAAAGTTTCAAATCAAGCACAAAATCCTTCTAAAACCTATTTTGGGCTCAATTTTATTTTTCTTTGTTTGGGCTCTTAGAATGCTTCATTAAAGTATTTCATAGCCCTCCTTATGAACATCACTTAGTATAATAAAATACTATAAATTGGAAATATGGAAGATAAAGTACTGAGCCCAGGACCTTTTTGAAGTTTTGAAGAAGACAGCAGTTACCAGATGTGTCACACATACACGTCTGTCTGTCACTCAGTTTTAAAGAAACATTAAATCAATCTATCTATCTATCTATCTATCTATCTATCTATCCATCCATCTATCTATGGGAACCAATTAAATTATTTAAGTTATAAAACCTTTTTTCTTTCCCAATACCCTTGTTCTTGTTTGGATAACACCAGATCTATTTCAGGGCATTGGAAATGCCAATTGTGATATTGCCATAGATACAAAGTCCTAAAAATGGCTTGGGGGCAGTCCTTAGAAACTTTTATAAGAGCCCTGTGAAGTTCTGTACTATTTTGAGATATTTTTCAGCACATCTTACTTTAGCGGAAAATGGGTAGACCTTGGGATTGGTTATAGAATTCAAAGTCTATAGGAAGAACCAGGTTACTAACACGTAGCTTGCTTAAGTAATTAATAATGTTCTTGAAATTATGTAATCCAAATAACCCTCTGAGACTATGCTTGAGAAACTTTGCTTTCTATTTAAAAATGACATTTATCAGCTTCGTTCATCAGATTCTACTTTAATATTTTTGAAGGAAAAAAGGGGTGAGGGTGGGGAAAACATAAAAGAGGCAAAACAACCTCCAACACTGAGAAAGCTGAGGTAGGTAGGAATTACTTGGTGGGCTTAAAAACTTCAGATGCCTAATTTCATAAACAACCTGCAAAAAGAACAAAAGCTGAGCAGAATAGCTTTCTGTCTCACAAAAATTACATAATCAGAACTAATCGAAGACCCTAAAATCTTCATATGTCTTAATAAATTTTGCTTAGAAAAGAACCAACATTAAATTATCTTTAACAGAAAAGTCTGTTCTAGTTTCTGAGTAAGATACGAACCCTGACTATGATCTTACCTGGAGACGTCTTTAATCCAGTCATATTGAACATATAGATGTTGTCATCTGTGCAGTTGGCAAATAAAGTAGAGCCAGTGGAATCCAAGATTAGACTTGAGTATCCTGGAAAAAGGAAACTTTAGTTAGTTAGCATGTTCCGGTGACAGTAAGTAGAAACAGGGTAAAAATGATGAGGCCAAAAGATCATTCCACAAGAAGAATCACCAAAATTCTTCTCCAAAGTATCTACAAACCAAAAACATTCCTCTTTTTATTTTTTGAACTTCAAAAAGATACAACCACATAGTAGAGTTTCTCTAGTTTATGTTACTGAAAACTAGCTTGATATTTTTTATTTTGTTATTATATTTTTAATCCTCACCTAAGGATATGTTTTTGTTCCACTGATTTTAGAGAAAGGGAGGCAAAGGGGGATTGAGGGAGCGAGAGAGAAACAAGGATTGGTTGCTTCCCATATACTCCCTCAACTGGGGTGTGAACCCACAACTAAGATATGTTCCCTGCCCAGGAATCAAACCTGCAACCTTCTGGTGCATGGGATGGTGCTCGAGGCACCCAGCCAGGGCTACTTTTATATTTTAACAAAAAGTTACATCCCCCCAAAATCCTACAAAAAAAGTCCTATAGTCTACAAAAAGGCTTACCTAGTTTTCGAGTGCTGCTACCTGGGTACAGGAAAGACTTGGAGGCTATGGGTTCTTGTCGATATGCAGTATAATTCTTACGTAAGTCCCATACTTTAATTACCCTAAAACCAAGGTAAAGAAATAGTTACTTTGTAGTCCCTTTCCAACCTGACCAGTTTCAACTATATTGAACGTGAAATGACTTTTAATCTAATTCCTCTGGCACATGAATTAGGTACAGTGAGGGTATCTCATTGGGAAACAGACTGAACTGCTTCATACCGTTGTCTCCAATGTCAGGCTTACAATTCTGGCAGAACGGAAACAGATGTGATATGACCCAGTGATGGGTTACCCTGAGTTTACTTCAAGGGAACGGAAAAGGAAAATGAAGGTTGGGTGCTGATAGTCATTGTTTCATTGTTTGCAGGAAAAAAAACCATTTCCTATGCTTTTAATACTCTGTATGTAACCTTTGACAGTATAAGTAACAAGCTGTACGCATGTGGTTGTATTTCTATATGTAACTCCTTTAGTAATCTAAACATTATTTTCTGTAAAATAAAGTATTTTTTCCATTTCATCTATTGGGGGTAACTGTCTTAATCCTCTACATCTAGTTTGGAGGCAACTTGAAAACACAAGTTTGGTGTAACGGGGCAGTATCCCTGGGAACAAACAGAGCAAGCTCTCATAGCCATTTATAAGCACAACTGATAACCTTTAGATAATGTTTCATTTGTGCCTCAGAATTTGGTCCACAGAAGAGTTTTAGTGTCCAGAGACACAATGGAAATCCTACTAAGTCATTATCTTTTTAAACTATGTTTTTTTGAGAGAAGGATGTCTTAAGAGATATAATAAGCAAATAGGGGGACAAAGAAGGGTGCTTAAAAAAGAGTCCCTATACTTAAATAATTTACATTCTAACAAAGTAACCAATCAAGGCACTACAAACCTATCTAGAAGCCAAAAATTCACACAAATAATGGATTGTACATATGTGAATTCAAAGTCATTAGGCCTTACTATCGATCTAGTTAAAGTACTCTTAGAAATGCCAATTACATGCCCTGAATCAGATTCCTTCTTTTAGATTACTAAATCTGAGAAGATAAAATCCAAGATAGTAGAAATTTTATGTCTTAAAATAAGAACCACTGACTAAATTATACTGCATATTATAGGATAAGCAAATTATCCACCCAGCTTCTCCATAATAGGAGCAGCCAACACTGCTTGTATGTGCTAGACAATGTGCTAAGTATGACACGTGCATCATCTCAATTATTTGAGCAAGAGTCCTAACTAGATCTTTTCCAGTGTCATCTGCAGGTCTTCTTCTCAGATGGATATTCCCCATGTTAAAAGCACACACATTCAATTATAATGAGACTAGGGGATTCCCCCTCAGCAGTTCATGAAAGAAATCTTATCAAAAGAACTGAGAATTAGACTCACCCATCCACGGCTCCTGCTGAGACTAATGTATTCTCATCTTGAAAGAGGACCACGGTAACACTCTGCTGGAAATCCTAATAACACAAGGAGGAAAAAGAAAATGAATAAAGCCTGTTTTGGATATAGCAATTTTCACCACCAGGAGTCCAAGATGTTAAATTTTTTTTTTCTCTCCCACACTCTGAGTTAGACTAAATCTTCCCTCTCCAACAATCCTCATTAGTGCTGAGTAAGAAATAATTTTAGCTAGAAAATAACCCAAACATCGTTAAGTTATAGTATACAGTGTTAACACTTTGACATACTAAAAAAACCCAATATTGACTTAACTTGTTTAAACCTACTGGTTCTAAGAATCACACATACTAATAAACTGTGTATCTTTAGGACACTCGTTTAACTTTCCTGTCCCTTATTTCATCTATAAAATGTCACCATCTTTTTAGATGGTGTCTAGGCACAACTTTAAAGAGTGTCTAAAGAATTACCAATGAAAAGGTGATTACAGGGGACTTAGGGACAAGATGGCAGGGGACTTAGTGGGCTAGTTAAACACAGCCCACTTCCTTGCACAACCCCATCAAAATTACAACTAAATTGTAGAATAACCATGACTCACAACCGTCAGAAATCAAGTTGAATGGAAGTCTAACAACTACGGAATTAAAGAAACCACACCTATCCAGACTGGTAGAAGGAATGAAGATGTGGAATGGGCTGGTCCCACACCCATGTGTGGTGGATAAAAATTCGGGTGGGTTATTTCAGGAGCGAGAAGTCCCAGCCCCATATCAGGCCTCTGAGCTCAGGATACCAGTGCCAGGAAGAGAAGACCCCATAACTTCTGGCTGCAAAAACCCGTGGGGACTCAGTAGGTGGAAGAAACTTCTGGAATCCCAAGCAGTAACTCTTCAAGAACCCAAACATGGACTCACCTACTAAGATTCACTCCCTCTGAACTCCAGCACTGGGGTAGCACCTGGACAGGCACCAGTGGCATACAAGGAGAAACTGAAGTGTCTGGCTTCAAGGTGGGACCTGGGGGGGGCGGGGACAGCTTTCTCCCAGACAGAAAGGCAGGCAGAGGCCACTGTCCCTTTTCTGAACCTTCCCCCCAGAGCTGCCAGGTGGGTGCTATATCTGAGACTCCATCAACCTCACTAACACTGTTTGCCCTGCCAGCCTAGACTCACAATTTGGTTTCTCCTGGGACTCTCCAAGCCCAACACAAGTAGCAGCCATCTCAGATTGCTTTATAGCCCAGGCAGGTTGGCCCCTGCAAAACACAGGTTGGGGCTGACATCGGACTGTACTACCCCGGAAACTGCAGAGCCTGTGCACAGTGGACAGCTAAAGACCGTGCCAGAACACCACTACCCTGCCCCTCCAAAACTGATCCTCCACAGAGGGCAGAGAGGTTGGTGGTCAGTGGTCACGGCCAGTCCTTGCAGCTTACTGGCCTGGGTAAATACTTCCCATTGACCTGCCAACAGCAATAAAGGCTCAACTACAAGAGGGTGTACTCAACCCACACAAAGAAGTATACAGCTTGAGTGATAGGAAGGGCTGTGCCACTGGACCCCATCGGACACCTATTAGATTAGGCCTTGCTATCAAGACAGGGAGTCAAATCAGCTCTACCTAATACATAGAAACAAACACAGGGAGGCTTCCAAATTGAGGAGACAAAGAAACATGGCCCAAGTGAAGAGGGTAATGAATTGGGACAACTATAATAGCACAATCAATAAAATATAATAAAAAAGATGATTACATGCTCTAAAAAAATTAAAGATATTAAAAAAAGACTTTACTTCCTAAATGCTGTCAACAAGTTTCCAGGCTCAGAATCTGATTAAGTGTCTGAAATGTTACTCATTTAAGTTCATCTGGCCTCCAAAGACCTCATGCTAACCCTGTCAGTTTCCATTCATGCCTTCGTACTGTTTATGGTGTGCAATTTTAAGCCCTAATGTTTTAGCAATCACACCTCCCCCAAAGTTCAATCCTACAAACCAGGAGTATGAGAAAAATAAACACATTAAGGTAAGAGCAAGGGTGACTTATTTTTAAAGAAAAAGTTGAGCATTGTTTGAACTTTGACTCTCAAGTACTAGAGAGGTGCTATTATGAAAACAACAGGGATTCTTTCCCAGCAGAAACTGCATTATAGTATTGGGTTGACCAAAAATTCTGTTTAGTTTTTTCAGTAAAATAAAAGACACATTTTTTATTTTCACCAATAGCTTTACTGATTTGGGTATTTTGAGTATGTTGGCTATCTCCTACTATTGGCTTCTAGTGAGTAGAGGTCAGGGATGCTGCTAAACATCTTCCAATGCACGATAGCCTTAGAGCAAAGAATTATTTGGCCACAATGGCAATAGTACCAAGAAACTTCATGAACCACTTGACACGTTTCATCAATCATGACACCTTTTCCACACAATGCGCAAATCTTTTTTTGCGTTTCAGTTGCATTTTTACCTTTCCTGAAATCATAAAGCATAATATGCCAAAAAATGTTGTGTATTTTCTTCCATCTTCAATATTAAAAGGGCCACACAAAACTTCACCATTTTGATAAGCTTTTTTAAAAAAAGGCACACTGATAATGACAGCTGCAACAATACAATCTAACAAAATTGTTTTGAATTAAGTTAAAGACATCTAAGCACTACTAAATGAACTTTTTGACCAACCCAGTATTTCCACTTCTTCAAACTACTCCCCCTCTTGTAGTGAATCACACTATACTATAGGTAAGTGCACACATGGAGACTGCACAGGATGAGACTCAAGAAGCTGAATTTTTAGCATGTTCCCTGGCTTCCTCTGTTGCACACAAGGTTCTCAAAACCACTACTGTAGGTACTGAATTAAAATTAAGCAATAAATCCACTAACATTAGAGGAAATGAAGATTCTATCCCATTGTTGATATCCCACACATGTATACAGTTATAAAACCTTACCACGGAAGGAGCAAGTCCTTTTGAATTCTGTTTCTTCTTAGGTTTTGAAGGGGTTTGCTTGTCTAAGGTATTGTGAGCACCACTGATTTGATTCACTTGCCTATAAAATCCATCTGCAAGATATTCCGAGGGAATTTAGTGTTCAGAACTTTATTCCTATGCTAAGTATAACATTTATATATAGAAAATCTCTTTATTAGGTTAGCGAAATTAAAAGCCCACAGTGTTACCACATTGCATCTTTTGTGGTGAGATTATAATGCATAAAAAAGAAATAAACACACAGATGTTTATAGCAGCTTTATTCATCATGGCCCAAACTTGGAAATAACTGCGATGTCCTTTAGTAGGTGAATGTATGGATAAACTTTGATACGTCTAGATAATGATATATTATTCAGTGCTACAAAGAAGTGTGCTACCTAGCCATAAAAAGTTATGGAGGAACCATAAATGCATATTATTAAGAAAATCCAATCGGAAAAGTCTGCTTATTATAATTACATGACTTTCTGGGAAAGGCAAAACCATGGAGACAATAAAAAGATCAGTGGTTGCCAAGGATTAAGAGGAGGGCAGGATTAATAGGTGGAGCACAGAGTATTTTTAAAGCAGTGAAACTATCCCCTATAATACTATACTAGTAGATACATATCATTATACACTCTTTGAAACCAACAGAATATATAATACTAAGAGTGAAACCTAATGTAAGGTACAGATAGACCATGGGTGATAGTGATATATCAATATAGGTTCATTAGGTGTAATGAATGTCCAACTTTGGTGTGAGATATTATTGGTGGGAGAGGCTTCTGAGGATGGGGTACACCAGTATAGAGAGCACGCTCTTATACTTTCTGCTCTATTTTGCTGTGTATCTAAAACTGCTCTAAAAAAAGTATTTAAAAAATAATTTTTTAAATAAGGAAATAAACAGACATGACCACTAGTTTCTGTTTAATGGCATCACTGGGCAAGGTAAGCATAATTATATGTAATCTAATCCAATCCTTCAAAGCCAAAAATATAAATTAAGAGATTATTAATTAATAATTTTAGTCCCATGAATCACTGAAACAGCATTATAGTTCAGAAGACAGTATGAGGTAAATACAGAGGGTAATACTTGGCAGCAATCACTAAAATCATGAGAATTAGAACAAAAGCAGAAACAAAGGATCATGAACAAGTGCCCCCTGGTGGTTATCACACGACATCAATGAACATTTCATTCAAAATAATCAAGGATGGGGACAGACCACATTTATCAAAAATGAAATGGAACTAGACTACCTTTTTTGTTGCACCTGGTGTCCCAGACCATAATGTTGCCATCTCTTCCACCAGTACAGAAGACAGCTGTAGAGAAAGTTAATCAAAAGGTTAACAAAACTTGTCGATGACATACACATTTTAATTTAAGTTTTCTAAATATCTGCTACATGCTAGGTTCTATAACTGGCACTGGAAATTAAAAATTTTAAATATATAGCTAAACAACAAATAAGAGAAAACAAAGTGTGAAGAGGAAGAATTACAAATAACCCGAAACACTTATGTTAAACAAAAACTTTATAAAATAATCATGTAAATTTTCTTAAAACCACATAAAACACTATATAAACACACACACACACACACACACACACACACACACACACACTGATAAACAGCAAAAACAAAAATATGGAGTGCAACTTCCAGCCAAGATGGACACGTAGGTAGATACACCGTGCCTCCCGAACAACCAAAATAAGAACAACAACAATTTAGAAACAAAATAACAACCAAAAGTGAGAGAAAAATTGAACTGTATGGAAGTCCGACAACCAAGGATGTTAAAATAGACACATTCATCCAGATCAGTGGGCGGGTCGGCGGGCAGACCAGCGGAGTCAGGTGGTTGAGTGGAGAGGGGTTGCGGCACAGGAAGCAGTGACACTGGGTGCTCAAGGCACCCTGGGCACGCAAGATGGCACGGGGCAGACCCTGGGTGCCCAGGGGGCAGTTGGCAGACCCCGGGCATGGGGTGACAATAGGCAGAACCTATAAGGCGGCACTGAGAAGTGGGGCACTGTGAGCAAGGTGGCTGGCTGACCAGGCAGCAGCCCCACATTTGTGCATAGGTAACTGGGGAGTGAGACAGTCCGCACAAACCGAGGGTCCTAGTGCCAGGAAATAAAGCCTCAAAACACTGATTGAAAATACCTGTGGGGGTTGAGACACAGGGAGAGACTCCCAGACTCACAGGACAGTTTGTTAGAGAGACCCACAGGGTCCTAGAATGCACACAAGCCCACTCACACGGGAATCAGCACCAGAAAGGCTCAGTTTGCTTGGGGAAAGCAGCAGAAGGGACTGAGGTGCAACAGAGAGGGGAGCAAAGTGCCATTGTTCCCTCTCGGACCCCACCCCCACATATGGCAACACAACCCAGCAACTTCAGTTGCCCTGGTGAACACCTAAGGCTCTGCCCCTCATAAGTAACAGGCGCAAACAAACCAAAACATTATGGCTCCAGCAGAAGAGCTCAAAGCTCCAGAGCCAATACTTCTAAGCAACCAAGAGATAGACAACCTATCGGATGCACAGTTCAAAACCGTGGTGATCAGAATACTCACAGAACTGGTTGATTTTAGTCACAAATTAGATGAAAAAATGAAGGCTACACTAAGTGAAATGAAGGGAAATGCACAGGGAACCAATAGTGATGGGAAGGAAACTGGGACTCAAATCAAGGAAGCGGACCAGAAGGAAGAAACAACCAAACAGAAAAGAATGAAGAAACAAGAATTCAAAAAAATGAGGACAGGCTTAGGAACCTCCAGGACATCTTTAAATGTTCCAACATCTGAATTATAGGGGGTACCAGAAGGGGAAGAAGAATAGCAACAAGTAGAAAACTTATTTGAACAAATAATAAAGGAGAACTTCCCTAATCTGACAAAGGAAATAGACTTCCAGGAAATCCAGGAAGCTCAGGGAGTCCCAAAGAAGTTGGACCCAAAGAGGAACACACCAAGGCACATGATAATTACATTAGCCAAGATAAAAATGAAGGAAAGAATCCTAGAAGCAGCAAGAGATAAGGGGACAGTCACCTACAAAGGAGTGCCCATCAGACTGTCAGCGGATTTCTCAAGAGACCTTACAGGCAAGAAGGGGCTGGAAAGAAGTATTCCAAGTCATGAAAACCAAAGACCCATATCCAAGATTGCTCTATCCAGCAAAGCTTTCATTTAGAATGGAAAGATAGATAAAGTGCTTCTCAGATAAGGTAAAGTTGAAGGAGTTCATCATCACCAAGCCCTTATTTTATGAAATGTTAAAGGAATTTATCTAAGAAAAAGACCAAAACCATGTATAGTAAAAGGACAGCAAACTCACAATTATTAACAACCACACCTAAAATAAAAACAAAGGAAACTACTATAACAGGAATAGAACCACAGAAATGGACATCACATGGAGGGTTAGTAACAGGGGAGTGGGAGAAGGGGGGGGGAGGTACAGAGAATAAGTAGCATAGATGGTAGGCAGAAAATAGACAGGGGGAGGGCAAGAATAGTATGGAAAATGTAAAAGCTAAAGAACTTAAGACACATGGACATGAACTAAAGGGGGGGAATGTGGGTAGGAGAGGGTGTGCAGGGTGGAGGGGAATGAAGGGGAAAATGGGACAACTGTAAAAGCATAATCAATAAAATATATTTAAAAATATGGAGCGCCTACTAAGTGCTATGTAGTATCCTAAGTACTTTATATAAATTATCTCAGTCCTTGTTATCAACCCTATTAGGTGGTTATTATTATCCCCATTTTACAGCTGAGAAAACTAAGGTACAGAGAAGGTAAGTAAACTATAAAGGTGTTCTTCACACTCTGAATCCAGAGCCCATATTCCAAACCTCCAAGTAGTACTGTCTCAGTATAAAAATACAGACCAGATCCATACAAAATCTGTGAAAGGGGTTGCATCTGAGGGTGAAAGACAATGGGATTTGAGAAGAAACAGAACTTCGATTTATCTGCAATGTTCTATTCTTTAAAATTAAACAAGAACCCCCCCCAAAACAAAACAACAACTCTGCTTCCTGTATAAAAGAGTGGACACTTACTAAACCAATCCACATGCACTCGCTTTTTTAAACCCTGGAAAGAAATTAAAAAAAAAAAAAAATCTGAGGGCTCTATAAAGACTGAACAAAAACATGCATTTTTTGGAGGAGAGTCAATAACTAGGCAAGTGATTGGCTTAGGGTAAGTTACTGTTTGTTTATGGTTGTATCTTGAGGGAAGCAAGCCACAGTTGCAAGCAGCTAAAATGCTAATAGGAACACTTGCCATCTTTATATGTCAGAAAAATTAGGAAAACGAGATGTGGGGCAACAAGTGCTGCCAGAGTGACTGGAAACCCTAGAGAAAGCCAGAGAAAGGGAAGCCCTAATTCTGTGTTTAAACTCAGTGCATGTCTCTGGCTGACCCCTGAACCATCTTTGAAGGGGAAAACTAAAGCAGCTTTCAACTAAGACCTAAATTACTGAACAGAATTGAGATTGAACCCACTGCCCTCTTACAGATTTGACAGTCTGCAATTTGAGTCTAACTCAGTTAATTGCTTGTTAAAAACATCAACTCTTTCTAAGCAATATAACAGAATCCAGAGTGCAACATACTATTCGCAGTACCCAGGACATAACCTAAATTACCTGACATATAAAGTCAGGAAAATGAGTCCTTCTCAAGGGAAAAGAAATCAACAGAGGTCAATCTTGAAACAACTCAGATGTTGTTTTATCAGATAAAATTGTAAAGCAAATAGAATTATGTTAAGTGAAGTAAAAGAAATTGACATTCACAATCCATGAAAGATGAGAAATCTCAACAGAGACAAAACTTACACCCCTCCCCCCAAAAAAGGAAAAAGAAATTTTAGAACAAAAACACACAATTTCTGAAATAACAAAATTCACTGGATAGGCTTAAGAGTAGAATGAAAAGAAGAGAGGAAAAGTCAGCGAACTTTAAGATGGAGCAATTGAAATCATTCAATTTGAAGAAGATTATTACATCAAGTAAAAGAAGCCAGTTATAAAAAAACCACATATGTACAGTTTCAATTATATGAATACAGAATAGGCATATTAGAGAGACAGAAAGTAGTTTAGATTGTGCAGGACTAGGAGGCAGGTGGAAGGTACTGCTAAAGGGTTCTGATTTCTTTCTGGGCAGATGAAAGTGTTTTAAACTTAGACTGTGGTGATGATTGTACAACTCTGAAAATAAATAAACACTGAAATGTACACTTCAAATGGGTGAATTTTATGGTATGCTAATTATATCTCAAATTTAAGAATACTGAAGAAATAAAGCCTCTCACATTGATGCTTCTCTAAAATCATAAAAACAAATCCTTCAGTGAGGATTTAAGATAAATAACTAGATAAAAATAAATAAAAAATTCATGCTATCTTTCCTCTTGCAGGTTCCAGTTTCAACAGCAACTATAATACATTAAAGTTGACCCTCCCTTTTTTTGTTCAAACAGCCCAACAACTCAGTTCCTGAGTATTCAATTGAATAAGTGAAACTATTCCTCTTAAAAATAGAGTATCTTTTTGATACTCTAATAAAGGAGGCCTCTATTATTTGGGGATTAAAGTTGGATTAATTCAACCACTTCTTTGAAAAACCCCTTAAAATGTCAGAAATGAAGAACTCATTCTGACACCCCTGCAAAATTTTCTCTAGCTGCTACGGTAGTGGTTCTGTATTATATTAAGTCTTCATTCTGCATTATAATAGTAAAATAAATATAGAAAGATCAATTTTGAGATGAATACATCCTAGGGAATAGGGCCATTTAGAGTAACTACATAGTAAGTTGTTAGGTAGAGAATTACTATCAGGTTTCCCACCCCAGCCTCAAATTCTACTTAAATTTTACAAGTAGGATTAGAGTAACTATTTTACAAGTATAGTTAATCAGTGTCCAATATAGGGTTTAGACTTCAAAGGATACTCAGAGTTGAACACAGGTGTTGTAGCTGTTAATAAATCTTCACATTATCAGTAAGATCATAGAAAAAAATTACCTGAAGATGATTGACTTTCAGGGACAAGCTGGAGATAATGTCCATAAAAAGAAGACTAAAAATCCAACTTAATTTCATTTAGGTTTTCAGTCATATTAGAATCTCAATCATCTATGTAGGTAAAGTAGCAACTTCAATAGGGGGGAAGTTGGAAACAATTGTAGTATCTCAGGACCCCATTGTAAAAGGGGTTAAGGGGATAAAAGAGAATAGGCACAATCCTACCTTTCTCAAACTTAGAAAAGGCAACTGACTTGAGGCTGCATTGATGACCTTTGCATGTTCCAAGCAGCTCACCAGCTTTTACATCCCAAAATTTGGCTGATTGATCACCTGCTGCTGTAACCTATAAAAAACATGTTATTATAATTTAATAAAGCAACCCTTTACCAGCATCTACTCAAATTCTAATAAAATGGAAGTCACTTACAAGTTTAAGTTCACCTGGGACCCAAGCCAGGTCAAAGACAGCATTCCAGTGAGCCATCCATTCTAAATAAAGAAAATGGTGAATGTGAAATGTCTAGACTATGTTGTATGGTAGTCATATCAATAGCAGTTTAAATGCCTTGAAAGTTGTATTGAAAAGATCAGTGGTCAGCACCCTATGGGCCACTGGCCACAGAGTATTACAATAGAGAAGGAAGATTTAAAAAACTAACATTTGATGTCGAATTCCCTTCTGTGAGGTGACTAGTAATACATTCTCTAAAATGGAATTTTTCTGAAACATTTTCCAGTTTCAAAATCTTCATTCTGCTTTAGACCCTCTTTCTGAAGAGAGTCTAAAGTACCTTCGTTGGACATTCAAGGTTCTGCACCTTCATCCCTTATTGCTGTCACTTTGTCCTTTATCTCTCACTGTCAAACCAAACTGGATTACTCCCTATTTCCTTATTATATCTTATTCTTTCTTATCCCTAGGTTTTTAAAAATTATTTTATTGCTGTTCAATTATAGTTATCTGCATTTTCCCCCCACCAGCCCCCCAATCCCCCTCCCTCGGTTTTGTCCTTTATAGTAATTCCTGAAAACCCTTCCCCTCATTACCCCCTTTTGCTAATGCTGCCCCCTCCATCTGAAATGTCCCATACCATCTCCACTGATCTAAATACAATACCACAGTCCAACTCAAATGCCCTACCCTTTAGGGAAAATTTTCCTCCCCTTCTCTAGTACATGAGTGATTTCTCTTGTCTCCTATAGCATTTTCTTTGTATGTTTCTATCATTTACAGTCTTGGTTTTATTTTAGTTATTTCAACAGTTGACTTATAAGTTCCAAATTGTCAGCTTCTTAAGATCAGCAGAACTCTGTTTAATATGTGAAAGATGTTTGGTCAACATAAATATTTTAAAGCAATGCTTTCTCCCAACCACATTAATTGTAAAAGATTTAACCCTTTTAAAAGAACTGTTTTTAATCCTAAAATGTATTTTTCTTAATTTTCAATAAAGTCATTGCCATAGTTAACATTTACTAGGAGAAATAGCCTGGTCCTTAAACAGACTTAATCAGAAGTAAATATAATTCGGAATGTAGTCAAATGATAATTTACTCCATGCTTTACAAATTAAAAATATTGAAACAAACTTTAGACTTACCTTTAACACACTTCTTTCTATAGGTTTGTGACTCTGTGTTATACAATCTAACAAACCCTTCTTCATTGGCAACTGCTAGTATATGTTTCATGTTGGGAGCTAGATAAGAAATAAAGAACAGAATATATATAAAGAATAACATAAACATTTTAAAGCTGATTATAAAGACATATATATCTATACACATGTATATATAAAACGTATATATAATATAGATTAATTAAAAGCTACTAGGTAAACACAAAGACTCTATTTAAAAAGAGGGAAAATGATTCTATCCAAATAGCATGATATGGTAGAGAGGTAATTTAAAGTAAAAATTGCTTAAAATTTGCCACACTAATTTAGTAAATGACTCAAAACCATCAACATTATCTTCAGATATCTCAGCTTCTTATTTAGAGAAGTTGTGAATGAAGAGTGATACTTAAAACATGAGTGGTGCTGGCCAATGGCAAAAGTCATGTGATATAGGCCACCAGCAGGCTGAGTCCATTAATTTAAAATTCCCTTTCACAACCTTTGACTTTTCCTGTTTTAGAATATTAACAGTGGTAACAAGTATTTATATTACTGTTCATTTGTTCCCCAATGCATTACAAAAAGATAGATTCAGATCAAAAGTGGTATCTACTAGGTGAATAGTTTTCATGGTTGGCTGAACCTTTGTTACTTTTTCCCTATCTTAGTTTTATTTTAAGTGCTATAATGGTTCTATGCTTTAGAGGAAATATATAATTATGCATAAAGATTAAGAAAAGTCTATTTCATAAATCAGGACGAACAGTTCTTAGAAAAACTCTACCATCCCTCTTACTTTTTTCTGTGTGAAATAGATCATTTTTGACCAAGCCTTGCTAGACAGCAAATTTTTTAAATTTTATTTTAATTGTTGTTCAAGTACAGTTTTCTGTCTTTTACTCCCATCCCAGCCCACCCCTGCAGCCCTCCCTCCAACCTCCCATTTCCATGCCCCCCCCCCCCCCGTTTTTGTCCATGTGTCCTTTATACTTGTTCCTGTAAACCCTTTCCCCTAAAATTCCCTCCCTTCTCCCCTCCCCACTCTGGTCACTTAGACAGTAATTTTCTTACCAGAAGAGAAGGTACATCCAAAAGGAGGAACTGGAACTCCTGTTTCTCCATAAGAAGTGTGCTCATCATTAGAGTTGCACTGATAACCAGTTAGAAGGGACTGTAGAGGGTATTGTGAAGACCACCCTAAAATAAGATACAATTCCTTACAGAATTCTAATATACCACCAGATTTTAGTACTTTTAACATTTGCAGAGGCAAATATTTGTTTTAAAAGGCTTTATATACTTAATATAGATCTACTCACTATCTATGGTACTCTAGAATACAGTTTCTGGTATTTTCCTAAGGAAGAATAAAAGAATGCTCCCAAATTCTGGTGAAGTATTTAACCTTGGGCTTACCATCTAAATGGAAACTCATTAGTACATCGAAGACTGCAAAAAACAAGTGGCATTGCACATAAATCTTAGCTCTTCACCCACCCTCTGGTCATGACAACAACCATTAAAACTGTCATTCTCTTCAATTAAAATTTTATGTTTTTAGAGTTTCTAATGCAACCTTATTATAAACTCTTAGTTACCAGTAATGTCATATAAAATCCAATGGTCATCAAGTTAAAGGAAATAACTTATGTCAATGTGCCTACTGTAGCCATTAACATATTCACAAGTTGATAGCCCTGGCTAATAGTAGGGTCAGAAAGTCTTTAGAGGAAGTGAAATCAAATCTAAGTCTTGAAAGATGAGTGATTCATTGAATACACAAGAAGGGGGTTAGAAATTCAGGGTAGCAAGAAAGTTTATTCTGCTTGGATCAGAAATTTAATGTGCACTATGGTCTAAAAAGTAAACCATCTTCAAAGATTAATAATTTTTATATAAGGGTTGAAACATTTTAAATATATACAAAGAACACTGATTTAATAAAGTTAATGAGAACCAAATGTTGATTAAGCATAGGAGGAAACAATTAAGTTACAACATATTGAGGCCTGTCTAAATAATGAACAAACTCTCACATTTAGGGTACTTTCAATGCTCACTTTTCATCAAACAAACAGACACAAAGCTAGAGAAGACAGCCTGACATAACCTCAGATGTTCATAGAGACAACCTAAAGGAGTCATTACAGAGGACACAAAAAAATTCAATCCAGATTTAGTAATTATTCTTGAGGGTTATTACCTCAGGGTCAGGTGTCATTGTAAGTCAGCCATTTAAAGACAAAAGGAGAATACAATAATTACTTACATTGTAGAGTTAAAAATATCCATTCACAGAAAGAATTTAAAACAAAGCTCTGCCCTGGCTGATGTGGCTGGGTGGGCTGAGTGACCACCTGCAAACCAAAAGGTCTCAGATAAGATTCCCAGTCAGGGCACATGCCTGGGTTATGGGCCAGGTCCTAGGTTGGGGGCATGTGAGAGGCAACTGCACATTGATGTTTCTCCCCCTTCCCCTCTTTAAAAATAAATAAATAAATAAATAAATATAAACTATTAAAAAAAATTTTTTTAAATAAAACAAAGCCTCTGTTCTCAAGTCACATAAATGTACACTTGTGGTTTGGAACTTAAAAAAAATCTTATGACTACAGCGCACAAATTCAAAAGAACCAAATTATGAACATTTTGGTGAAATTAAAGATTATATGTATGTTATAGAGACCTAATTCTTTACAATTAAACAGTGTCCCTCGCACCTCTGCCTTGTCACCTACAGGCTAATATCCAAGCACTAACAAATGGCCTAACATGACTTAGTTACTAGTTAGTCCCCTCCATTTCTGCACTCCCCACAACACACACTTCTTGGGCCAGCCCCTTAAACTACCTTTGGATTCTTATTGTGCTTTGCTCTTTCCAACATGAACTTGTAATGCTCCCCCCTATAACACTCATTTCAAAAACCTATTATATACTCAACGTACCACAAATTACATGTAGATTCTTCAAGGAGTGTCTGAGGACACGAGTTTTCAGAGAATCAATTTTGTGCTACTCAAATTCCACGTATATGCATTCCTAGCACTGATTGGTCTGATGAGGTTGAGGCTTTTTTCTCCTCTCCCTTTATCACACTGCCTTTCTTCCACTTTCAAAAGGAAGGCACTTCCATGGCCCAGGCTTACACTTTGTACTGACCTAAGGTACAAACACTTCTGTGACTCCAAATAAAAGACAACTGAATATTTCCTTTAATAAAGGCACACAAACACCCATATCCATTGCTTGAAAAGATATATTTCCAATAAAATTTTACTTTTTGCTTAGTAACTTATTGAAACTAATAATCTATATTGTTTTGACTAACCACATACTAATAACTGCAATAAGTCAATCCAGAAGAACTTTTAACACTTACAGCCTTAAAATTACAGGTAATACCAATAAAATTTTTCTTACACAGAGGACTACAATAGGGTTATTAATCAACTCTTCAAGTTTACAATCAAATTATCATTAGGGTAAATTTTGTGGGAGAAATACAGCAGAAATAAATTCAAGGGCTAAAAGTAACTACGCAGAATATGTAACAGTTGAAATAATTAGTTCATATTTTAAAAAAATGACTGAGGTGATTATCAAATCACTACAAAATGCATTTTAAAAGAATGATGCAGTGTTTTTATTTTAAAATGTCAATATTCACAAAACAGCCAGAAATTAAATATTTGTATTTGCTTAAACTTATGATAAAAAATTTAGATATCAATTTAAAAATACACAGAAGAGTAATCAGATTTCCATTTTAGAAAGATCATTGGCAGCAATGTGGAAAATACCTGGAGAGAGGGAAACTAAGAGGCCATTTGGGAGACTGGCTACAGTCCAGATCAGAAGACATCGGGGCCCAATCTGAGGAAATGTAATGGTAAGCAAAGAAGAGATAGTAAGATACACTAAAGAGGCAAAATCAGTAAGGAAGAGAGGACATGGTTAAGAGATTTTTAAGAAAATCTTCTGGAGTGTATATTGAGGAAAATTCCCCATTTTCCACCTTCTTACACCACTCACAAGATAAACTCAAAATGGATTAAAATTAAAGACTTTAATATTAGACCTGAAACCATAAAAATCCTAGAAGATTTTGAACAGTCAAATCTTGAACATTGCTTGTAGCAGTGTTTTATCTGATACATATCCTCAGGCATGGGAAACAAAAGAAAAATAAACAAATGGGACCACAGCAAACTAAAAAGTTCTTGCACAGCAAAAGACCATCAACAAAACAAAAAGATAACCCATAGAATGGGAGACCGTATGTGCTGATACATCTGATAAAAGGTTAATATCCAAAATTTATAAAGAACTTAACAAAACTCAAAACCAAAAAACCAAACCAATTAAAAAATGGGCAAAGGACCTTAACAGACACTTCTCCAAAGAGGACATAGAGATGGCCAATAGACATATGAAAAGATGCTCAATGTCAGTGTCAGAATGGCTATCATCAATAAGTCAACAAACATGGCTGGTGCGGATGTGGAGAAAGGGGAACCTTTGTGCACTGTTGGTGGGAATGCAGACTGGTGTGGCCACTGTGGAAAGCAGTATGGAGATACCTCAAAAAATTAAAAATGGATCTGCCTTTTGACCCAGCAATTTCACTTCTAGGAATTTACCCAAAGGAACCCAAAACACTAATTTGAAAGAACATAAGCACCCCTATGTTCACTGCAGCATTATTTATAACCACCAAGATATGGAAGTGGCCCAAGTGTCCATCAGTAGATTAGTGGATAAAACAAACATGGGACATTTACACGATGGAATTCTACTCCACTATAAAAAAATTTAAAAAAAAAAGAAAAATTTTACCCTTTGTGACAGCATGGATGAACCTGGAGAACGTCATGCTGAGTGATATAAGCCAGTCAGAGAAAGACAAATACCATATGATTTCACTCATATGTGGAATCTAATGAACACACTGAACTACCAAGCACAACAGACAGACTCATAGAGAGCAGGCTGACAGCTATGGGAGGTAGGGTTAGAGGGTGGAGGGACCAAGTAAAAAGGAAAAAGGAAAAAGGACTCATGGATATGGACAACAGTGTGGTGATTGCGGGGGCGCGGGGTGAGAGAAGGTAAAAGAAGAGATTTTAAGAAAACTTTCTGGATGTGTATCTTGAGGAAAATGGGGAAATTTTGATTAACTCTTAGGTTTCCAGCTGGGAAGAGTGAGTTTAAAATAATGGAACCATAGCCAAAAATATGTAATAGAGCAGGTTTGGGGGGAAATTGAGTTCGGTGTTGGTATTTAAGTTTGAGATGCCTGTAGGACTGACCATCTAGGTAAAGACACTCATGCAGGACTGAATGTAAAAGCCTAGAGAAGGAAGGTTGCAGGTGGTAGTAGAAGAAGCCCTGATCATCAATGGGAGTAGATAGAAAAAGAAACGGCATCTAGGATAGAACACCAACATACAAGGGAAAGAAGAAGATGGCCCTATAATGTTCAGTGCACACTACATAAGAATGAATAAATTTCAGAGCCTAACAAGTAACAATGAATGAGAATTTATGAATGAGAGAGGGGAATATTGGAAGGATAGATTGGAGAATTAGAGTGTATGACAAAACCAAGGCTTGTCCCAAGTCGCCCAGATAATAAGGAATGGAGCTGGATTTAAAACTCAGGCATTTTACCTCCAAAGATACAACTTTAACCATGGTGTTGTATTGCCACTCATGACACAGAGGGTAGAGAAGTGGCTCAAGCAAGGTTCCATGGGCGACAGAATGAGAGGGTATTTAAAGTATGATTTAAAGGGCTATCTAAGAGGAAAAATGACCATGGGACATTTACACAATGGAATTCTACTCCACTGTAAAAAAAAAAAAGTAAGAAAATTTTACCCTTTGTGACAGCATGAATGGACAAGTGCCAGCATAAAGTTTTAGATTGGAGGCAGGAAACTGAGGGATTACTATCCTGAAACTATCCTGAAACTGAGGGAAACTATCCTGAAAATCCTTTTCCTAGACCAATGATTTTCAACTTTTTCATCTCATATAATTGGCACATACAAACCAATGTACTAAAATTCTGCGGCACACCCCAAAAATATATCTGACAAAAAAAAAAAGATATAATTTTTGATTCACTCACACCGGGTGGCTATTGTTGTGTTGGCTGTTGTCAATTCCTTATTTGACAATCTAAGGGAAAAGATGTCAGAGCCCCAACTAAATAGTCAGGTATCCCATGTTTCAAAAATTCTTGTGGCACACTGGTTGAAAATCACTGTCCTAGACTTATGTCTTAAATATAAAAAGTTCCCTTCTCAGATTTCCTTTTTGTTTTCCACGTGGTTTTAAGGAGAAGGAAGACCTATCGATCTTTAAATGAATAAAATTTCATTCTATCCAAGCTTAGTCTGGGTAGTAACTCCCTTATCAGAAAATTTCAGGTTAATGACATCCAAACGGAACTTCAAAATTCTTATTGCCAATGTTTTAACTTAAGGAACCTCAAAAACTGTAGACAAATTGGATTTTTACACACTAATATAGAAATATTCCCAAGTTACATCGTTAAAGTGAAAAACAAAACATCTTGATACCATTTCTGTAAATAACAATGCCACCTTTGGCATCTAAAAACATTTGGAAAATATACTTCAATCTATTTAACAGTCGTCATCTCGGGGGGTGGGGTAATGGACACTTTTCACTCTATAATTTCAAAATTTCATGCATATGAAGTAATCAGGGAGAAAAAAAATCTTTTTGACCATGCCAGAAGCAGATGTTCTGTCTTCTCTGCTTGACTGAGTTCCTTAACAGCGGATCGCATTCGCTGGTGTCAAATAAATAAAGCTCACTAAGATTCTACAACAAATTAATTAATATGAATCTCCTCGATCTCAAATAGCCGTCGAGAGAACCACACTCGCCCACAAATGCACGCGTTTTGCAGTTCAAGTCTAATACATACATAAGCCGTGAAGGAGGCCATTTAAATCCATTCCCTTCCTTCCGCCAGCCTACATTACAACTTTAGAAATCCAGACTATGATTAAAAGTGTCCGGAGGGCATGAAAGTGCAGCTTTCTTCGGTCGTCTTCGCTAACACGAATCCACTCCGGCCCTAAGAGAACTCGGGGGCTGGGAAACAACTGGAGTCGGCCTAGGTCCGAGGTGTGGTTTAGAGGAGGCGAATCCCGCCAGCAACAAGCAGCGGTTAGGGCCGTTACTCACCATTTCTCGGGACGCCAAACTGGGGCTGTCGGAGAACCGAATTGAAGAGCATCTGGACCAGGGAAATGGTTCAAGTGAGGAAAAATGTCCTAGATGTGTTACCAGGCTCAGCAGAAGTCGTGGCTTGCGTCCTTGCGAAGAGGACTAGTTATAGCCTCCAACTCCCGCCACTGTAAGCCCCGGCCACCAAACTCCCCGCCAAACTGACGTCACGCCCTCTGATTGGCTCCCAACGCAGCGTCCGGCGCCGCCGAGTCACTTCCCCCTCCAATCCCCGCCTTCTTTTCTCCCAGCCGCGGGAACCGAGTAGTCGAAAAGCTCACAGAGCGCCTGCGCGGGAGGCCGCAGTGGAGCTAGCGAACGGCGGGTTGACCAGGGCGCATGCGTAACACGGTTTGACAGAGCGCGGAGGAAAAATCCGCGAGGTGGTGGAAGAAGATGGCGGTGTCGGGACAGAGTTTGCAATCTTTCTGAATAGGCTAGATGAGTAACTTATTCGGGCCATGGCGTCAAACTCAACTAAGTCTTTCCTGGCAGATGCCGGCTATGGCGAACAGGAGCTGGATGCTAACTCTGCCCTTATGGAATTAGACAAAGGTATTGGAAAGAGCGGGTTGAGTGCTGTCGGGGGAAGTGGCGCCACCAGGCGGAGGTAGCCTCGGGAAGGCGGGGAAAGCGCATGCGCATAGCTTCTCCGGGCGGGCGCATGTGCGTTTGGTGAATCTGGGAAATTGCCGCGTTGCTGGATTGGCCTTGGGCTAGTCGAACAAGTTGAGGGCTCTAGTGATGGTCCCGCTTTATTGGCATCAAGTACCCCAGTAATCCGAGCAGTTTTTAAAAATGCTTAATTGAAATTGTGAAATTATTTTTTCAGGACGTTCAGTTGAGACCAGGTTTTCACCAAGATAGGTAAATCTTGCACTGACTTTATAGCGATTTGAGTTCTGTAACTCTTTTTTGCAAGGTAGTAGACAGGTTAAATACAGCCGAGACCAAACGGAAACCATCTCCTGCTCATTTTCTGCAGACAGTTGCATGAGTTCTATTTCCTTATGGGAGCGATGAATGGACAGTTGGTGTAGTAGAAGATTTGGGGTTAGATTGAGTTGAATTCCCATTTCACTCATTTTACATTCATGGACAAGTCACCTAACCGGTTTTTTGTCTGCAAAGTGGGTACAGTACTATTGAGCTGGCAAGATTGTTGTAAATGTGAATACGGAAAACAAGGCCAGATATTTGTCAATACAGAACCCAGGTATTAAAATGAAACCTTTGTTTCCGTGTACTACAAAGACTTATTGAAAGGGGAAATCATGATCATCATCATTATGATTATGCTATTTGGACTATTTCTTTTCATTCAGACTTCTGTACACTCATCGCTGTAGCTTCCCTTACTAATCAGTCCTTTTCTTTTTTTAACTTCTTTATCCAGCTTCAGATTTCATGACTCTTCAATTCATTAAGTTCATTTACATCTTTACCAATACTTTAAATTCTCACCCAAGGTTTTATACTAGTCATATGTGCCCAAAGGCAGCCAAAACTTGCTAGAGAAAGACATAAACAGGGTGGGTGGCTATTATCAGAAGTGGTATCAAACCCCTATTTGCCTTTAAAACAGACCTACAATGGATGCTACAGTGTTTCTTTGATCAAAATTCTCCCACCTTCTTCACTGACATTTCAGATCTTTAAGTCTTTCGGAAAAGAAGCCAGGAGAAGGCTATGGTGAACAGGAGCTGGCTAATTTCCTGAATTTTTTGTGAAATCTCATTTTTAATATTGACATTGAATTCAAAGTCTTTAAAATGTGTCTATCAGATAAAGTTATTCTGAGGACTAGATTCAGCAACTACTCTTTCCCTAACCCCTAGTATCATCAGTATAGGCAGGACCAGTCAAATAAGACACAAGTGACAGAGGGTAGCTTGAGGATCTAAGTTCTTCCTACCTTCTCAACACAGCTAAACAGAAGTGTGGGCCCTGCCACAAAGCTTTGGTAGGTTTGGAATCCTACCGTAGGTATTTTTGAAAAGGTTCACAATGTTTCTGATGCAGAACCAGAGCTGAAAACCACTATTCTACAAAAAAGTTCTGCACATTTTAGGTGCTGAATAAATTTAGAAGAATGTGTTTCACTGCTGCCAAGCGAATTTTGAATGAATGTACGATTTACAAACAACCAATTTTAGTTCTCCCTAGTCTACCTGCATGTTGCAGCTGAATTAAGCACTGTTTAACACCAGGCACTGAAAAGGAAGAGAGCTCTGTTTGGTGGGAGAATAAGAAGTAAAATGTGGAAACAGCATCCCATGCCTTCCACTTCAATCTCCGACTTTATAGTGGCACTCTTGTGATCATTGGACTTACGATCAGGGCATTCTTCCTCAGGTTGCTTGTAGCTAACAATATAAATAAAGCAAATAACCCCTTAGACCAAGATCTGATTGTGCTCTGCACCTCTTTTCCAGTGCTTGGTTTATCATGGAGTTGAAATTGGCCTAGAGCAAGTAAGATGGGTACGATCCTGCTCCAGCCTAAGATTTTTGCTAAATAATAGGCCTTAATGCTTTCTGTCTTCTGCACCCTGGTTTCTGTCCCTTGGAGCCAGCCTAACTTGTCATTTCCTTTCTCCTAAGGCTCTTACTTCAGAAATAAGCAAGAAATTTACCGTTTAGCTTATTTACTTTGATGGTCCAGTTAGAGGAATGTGGGCTTACTTTACCATCAAGAAATAAGATTTGGAAATGCTAGAGAGGTCAAAACATTTCCCTGTCTGTATTCAGAATTACCTTTGGTATACTTTAAATTAGCCTGTTTAAACAAATCAATGTGGTCTGTGGTTGTTTTTCCAGCAGAAGTAACAGATCATATTCTGTTGGGAGACTCCCTCTACATGGACTGCTCCCTCCTTTACCTCTGTTATTCCATTCAAGGTTAACTTATTACAAATAAAACTACTGTCGTTAGCACCTAACTCAACTACAGGCAGTGAGAAGAGGAGGAAAAAATCCAATGAGTGCAGATGTTCCCACCCCTTTCCCTAGCACACATACATAAGCACGCATCTGTTCCTTCTCTTCCTCTCAACTCATCCTCAGATGTGCCTTTCACTTCCCTGCTTCCCTGTGTCCTTCACTGCCCTAGCTGTGTGTCCCTCATTTTCCTTAGCTGTATGGGTCCTCATTTTCAAGTCAGGTCTTTAGAAAAGCCCGTAAGGCTGCATGAGCCACTGTCAGTCACTTAGAATAACCCTGTTGACACTGTATGTTTGGCCGGAAGAAGACTCTTAGAGCTTCAGTGGCAGTTCTTCTGTACATACAGAACAAAAGAAGGACCTTTTTTTTGGTGGGAAGGAGCAGGCAAAGAAGGCTTATGTTCTAAATATCTTAATCAGGAATATGAATTAATTTTGAATTAACTTTTATAGGGACTTCTATCATGAGCAGTTGTTAGATTCTAGAGTGCTATGGAAGCTGAGAGTGATTTTTTTTTCTGTGAGGAAATATGTTCCAAGTCAAGTGCTAATGTGAATGCATTTACAGGATGTAACCCATTAGTGAATTACTGAAATTGCCTCTGCACATTTACTTTCTGGTTGTCTTTTCTATTGAAACATAGTGACACTAGTAAAAAGCTTTCAGGTAAACATTTTTAAAAGATTTCATTTATTTATTTTAGGGAGAAGGGAAGGGAAGAAGAAAGAGAGGGAGAAAAACATCCATCAGTTGCCTCTCATATGGCCTACTAGGGACCTGGCCCACAACCCGGGCATGTACCCTGCCTGGGAATCAAACCAGCAACCCTTTGGTTTATAGGCCGATGCTCAAACCATTTAGCCATACCAACCAGGGCAAGATAAACATTCCTTTTGTCATTATTTATTTAATGATGAGCAAAGGTCACTGAACAGTGATACCGTAAAGCACTTGTTCTTACGTAGATAAGATCAGCATTTTGTGAATGGTAAAATAGTTGTAAAGAAATATTTGAACCTGATGCTGTTAATTCCACATCAAGATACTCATTCTTAATAAATTTTTCTTCCTTGACTGTGGCTCAGTGGGTTGCGCGTTGTCCCACAAAGCGAAAGGTTTCCAGTTTGATCCCAGTCAGGGCACATGCCTGGGTTGCAGGCCAGGTCCCCAGCTGGGAGCGCATGAGGGGAAACCAGTGATGTTTCTCTCACATCAGAGTTTCTCTCCCTCTCTTTCTTCCTCCCTTCTGCTCTCTCTAAAAATAAATAAATAAAATCTTTAAAAAATAAAAAATTTTCAAAGGATGGAACATTAACTCTTGTTTTTTCTTTTAACTTATTAAATTTGTTGGAGTGACTTTGTTTAATAAAATTATAGGTTTCAAGTGTACAATTCTATATTACATAATTTGTATATATTTTAAATTGTACTTACTGAATTTTAGAGAAAGAGGAAGGGAGAGAGAGAAAGAAAGAGAAACATCAATTTGTTCCACTTATGCATTTGTTGATTGATTCTTACATGTTCTCTGACTGGGGATTGAACCTGCAAACGTGGTGTACTGGGACTATGCTGTTACCAACTGAACTATCCTGTCAAGACCCACCTTCATATTGCATTATATGTTCAACACCCAAAGTCAAGTTTCCCGCTGGCATAATTTATCCCAATTTTACCCTTTTCTGCCACCTCCCACTCCCCTCTGGTAATTACCATACTGTTGTCTGTGTCCATGAGGGCTTTTGGGGGGGGGCTTAATTCCTTCACTTTTCCACTTAGCCCCCTAACTCCTATCCCCTCTCACAACTGTCACTGTGTTCTCTATATCTATGAGTCTCTTTCTATTTTGTTAATTCATTTTGTTCATTAGATTCTACATATAAGTGGCATCGTAGAGTATTTGTCTTTCTCTGATTGGGTTATTTCACTTAGTATAATGCCCTCCAGATCCATTCATCTTGTCACAAAGATAAGATTTGATCTTCTGTGGTTTCTTATAAATTTTTGGAATATACGTTTTAGTTCTGTGAAATATGTCATTGGTATCTTGAAAGGAATTGTGTTGAATTTATAGATTGCTTCAGGTAGTATGGACATTTAATTCTTCCTATCCATGAATATGGTATGTGCTTCTATGTGTTTATATCTTTTTCAGCTTATTTACTCAGTGTATTATAATTTTTCCAAGTACAGGTTTTTTTACATCCTCGGTTAAATTTATTCCTGGGTATTTTATTATTTTTTGATGCAACTGTAAATGGGATTGTCTTCTTGGTTTCCCTTTTTGATAGTTTATTATTGGTGTATAAAAATGCAACTGATTTCTGGATATTTATTTTGTATCCTGCTACTTTGCTGAATTTATCAGTTCTGGTAGTTTTTTGGAATCTTTAGGGTTCTCTATGTACAGTATTGTGTCATCCACAAATAATGACAGTTTTACTTTTTTCCTTTACAGTTTGGATGTCTTTTATTTCTTCATGTCGAATTGCTGTGGCTAGGACTTCTAGTACTAGGACTTGTTGAATTAGAGTGGTAAAAGTGGACATCCCTGTCTTATTCCTGATCTTAAGGGAAATACTTTTAGTTTTTCCCTGTTGAATATGATGTCGA